AGAACCAGCAAAGGTGTACTCTCAGTGGCAAGGGAACAATAAGAGAACAGCACCACCAAGGCTGGAGACGGAGCAATACTGGAAGAGCATATGGGAGAAGGACGCAACCCATAACGGCAATGCTCAGTGGCTAGTGGATCTGAGGGCAGACCACAGCGACCTCCCTGAACAGGGTCCAGTAACCATCACAGTGGCAGATATCCAAGAAAGGGTCTCCAGTATGAAGAGTTGGACAGCACCAGGGCCCGACATGGTTCACGCCTACTGGCTAAAGAAGCTGACTGCACTCCACGAGCGTCTGGCAGCACAAATGAACCAGCTGCTAGTTAACGAGAGACACCCGGAATGGCTAACCGAAGGTCGGACGGTCCTGATCCCCAAGGACCCCAAGAAGGGACCGGTCCCCTCCAACTACCGACCAATAACCTGCCTCAGTACTACATGGAAGCTCCTGTCAGGCATCATATCGGCTAAGATGAACAGGCACATGGGTCAATACATGAGCGGGACACAGAAAGGAATTGGCAAGAATACCAGAGGCGCAAAACACCAGCTACTGGTAGACAGAACAGTCAGCCGAGACTGCAAGACCAGACTGACCAACCTGTGCACTGCCTGGATTGATTACAAGAAGGCCTATGACTCAATGCCCCACAGCTGGATACTGGAATGCCTAGAATTGTACAAGATCAATGGGACCCTAAGAGCCTTCATCAGGAACTCAATGGGGATGTGGCGTACAACACTAGAGGCCAACTCCAAGCCCATAGCACAAGTCACCATCAAGTGCGGGATCTACCAAGGAGATGCTCTGTCCCCACTGCTGTTCTGCATAGGCCTGAACCCCCTCAGTGAGATCATTAACAAGACTGGCTACGGATACCGACTACGGAACGGAGCAGTTGTCAGCCACCTCCTGTACATGGATGACATCAAGCTGTATGCCAAGAGTGAACGAGACATCGATTCACTGATCCACACTACCAGGCTATACAGCAATGACATTGGAATGTCGTTCGGACTGGAGAAGTGTAGTCGGATGGTAACAAAGAGAGGGAAGGTAGTCAGAACTGAGGGGATTGAACTACCAGAAGGCAACATTGCAGACATAGAGGACAGTTACAAGTACCTGGGGATCCCGCAGGCGAATGGGAACCATGAAGAGGCCGCTAGAAAAGCTGCAACCACCAAGTACCTGCAGAGGGTCAGGCAAGTCCTGAGGAGTCAGCTGAATGGTAAGAACAAGATCCGGGCCATCAAGGAATTTGGGATTCATTGCTAGAAGATGAGGTTGGTGTGACAGTGCAGGATGCTTTGGATGGGGTGAAATGGATTCAGATGATCTGATGATCGGCTGACCGCTAAAGGGAGCAGCCGGAAGAAGAAGAACTGATGAAGTACAGCGCATTTCACACATTTGATACTTTAAATCCTCTAAACAAGACAAGATAAAGGCAAATATGAATTGTTTTTGCAGTGCAAGAGACTGACTCAAAGCACAGGAGCAGCTTTTCCTTCACTTGTTAGCCCAGTTTTATTTGAAAAATAATTTGAAAAATGAAATCGTTATAAAAATCATACGTTTACCTGTAAGGAGTGTGAATTTCATTCAAAAAGATGCCTTTTGAGTCATTATTTAACAAAAGGGGATTTTAGGGGATTTTTAATAACTACTTCAGTATAGACTATCCTAAAATATACCACATTATCACTTCTATACACTGTGCTGCATGAATATGAGTACAAAAGCAACTCACTGCAGGAGAATATAAAATTATCATCTTTGGTTTGTCAAAGGTGGATAGTAGGTTTTGCAAACACAGCTATAGCTACTGAAACAATAGCTAATAATATGAATGCTGAATCTGCACCATATTACTTTAACAATGTGGTTAGGTTAAAGGGCAAAAAGTTAGATTGGATATGCATTTTCTTTCCATTTGAGTGAAGCTAATTCATGTAGGTGAATATCTCAATTCTAAAGAACTTTAAGAAAACAAAAAAGCTCTCAAATTAAGCATAAAAACATTTAGTGAGTTTATGCAACTCTGAGAAATGGTAAAATAGCACTCCAGGGCAGACACAGTATTCTTTATTTAGATCAACTGCGTTGATGCTACATGAAAAGAAGTTTGGTGCTAACCTGGGGTTCTATATCCAGCAGAGCGATTTTGCCCTGCGTGTGGATCTTCTGAATGGTCTCAATTTTGGTGCCAAACATGAAACCCTGGAAGCTGCCATACTCCAGCAGCTCATTTCCAGAGATGCTCTTGGTCATGGCTTCATGGGAGATGAAGTAATATTCCTTTCCATTCTCTTCATCCTTACGTTGGGGTCTGGTGGTGTCTGCGCAAGAATGAGAGTTAAGAATTAGTGAGAATTAGCCCACGGATGGTAACAACCTGCACCACGTTAGAGGAATAAAAAGGCCATCAGTCTACTTACGTGGTGAAGGGTATGAAAACTTCTCTGGGTATCGTGTCAACAGTGCATTCTTAATATGACTCCTTCCAACACCAGGTGCGCCTGAGAAAAAAAGGCAGAATTAACAAAACAGTGCTAATTTTTTAAGGAAATTTTAATCAGACCCAAACTGTCAGACCCAAAATCCTTACACATCAATAGCAGTAGCATTAAGCGTGGCCTAACAGCTCTCACAACAACAACAACAACAACAAAAAAAAACCCAGACCATGCTGGCAAACTGCATCATTAACAGACCTGGCAACCCATTAAAGAAAAGTGTGGTGAATAATCACAGGATTCTTTTGATGCTAAAGACAAAAAAGCTGCACAGCTGCGCACAGCTGCAGCAAAAGCCTGACAAAGAATCGCAAACAAAGAAAATTAGTCCATTTTGCATGATATTGGGTTAGAATTAGGTTATTGAAAGATTATGGACACACAATGTTTTAAAACAATGAAACATCTATTATTTCCACTGAAAATAAGGGGGAAAAAAGTGCTGATATAGGGACTGTGAATTTTGTCCTCTGTGTTATTTATCGGTGATGTGGAAAGTAAAAGGAAAGGTTATTATAATAAAATGGCTAAGGAAGTGTATGGACGTGTTTCTTTTGAGGGAGAGAATCCTCATAGATACTAAGGTAAAATCAAGAAGTATTTTAAGGTGCATAAGAGAAAAAATGAAATGCTTGGCTGGAGTATGTTTCTCTTCTAGAGTGTGTTTTAAGCTGGTTATTGTCCTTGATTTTTTCTCTGACATGGTGGAAGACCCATCAAGGAAGTCAACGGTGAGATCCCTAACACTTTTACGCGCCTGCTCCTGTGTTGATCATTGTGTACCCTGTGCTGGATGGTGACATAGGCTGGGACCATTATAGGTGTAAGGAGAGATATAAGCCACTGGACATAATATGTAACGGAATGAAAGGCTCTTTCTTACCATTGCATGGAGGGGTTTGTTCCTACACCCTAAGTATTTCCCACACTCTGAGCCTGTACGCTAAACGTAAGGTAAGGGGACCGGAGAGACTGATAAGATGTGGGTGTTTGCTATGCACCACAGTCCCAGGGATGAGACCAACGAGCATCCAAGGAATTAACATCATTGGGAATATGGCCATGAGCCGGTAACCTTGAGCCCCTAGTGTCTCGGAGTGAATACCTCAAGGAAGGCAGCAGGAAACCCAAGAATTATGATGATGGGAAGATCTTGCTGAGTTGTATCTTCCATTCAGTGGTCAAGTTACAGGCCCGGTCTGCTTTTCACCGACTTGGGTTAGTTTTGTGATGACCACGACATGACTTTGAGGGCTGGGATGGACTTGATATCCAGAATCCTACCAGTGTTTCCTGGACCAAAGCTGGATTGTGAAAGATCAGCAACATGTGATTGTTGAGCTGGCACTATCATTGGCAGCACTAGAAGAAACAGCTCTTGAGCACCAGATTCCATAGAGCCTGTGAGTGATTGGTCTATCCCAATCTTATCTCAATGCAAGACCCCTATCTAGGCGTTGTGTAAGATGGCCCCAGAGACAATCCTGAGCGACATGAACGATAGCAGGGTGCTAAGATGCTAGCAGGCAGGTAAACGCTACCTTTTGATACCAGAGTGGCATCGGCATAGTGTACATGCAACAGTCTGTGCGCCGCCATTGTTATATACCTGAGAGTCCCATTACTCCAAAATGGGAGGATGCCGCCCAGGTAAGTGTCTTGTTGGGCGTTGGAGAGTTTAGGCATCTGTTTTGGGGTGTTTTTTCTGCCGTTGAGATAATGATGGCGTCTATTTGTCCCTAGACCACAAGGAGTTGCAGAGATGTTTCTGTTTCGCTAATTGCTGGCAGTATTGTCGACCCACATCATTAGAATCTGTCGTACTCTTATACCGCTCACCGTTGATTAGTTTAAAAATTTTATATTTTTATATTACTTTATTGATTTACTAATTTTTAGAGATATATATTAAAATTTAATATAATAGTGAAATTAATTTGTTGAAATTAGTTTATGATATTCTATAGTATATATTATTATTATATATATATATATTTAATATATAGTGATATTAACCGAGTACGAAAGTCCTTTTGCATCCTTGGCCTGGGAGTGGTGCGGCATGCAGTGATCTGAAAATTTTATTGTGTCGGAGTTGCTTGCCTGATCTTCTGTCTTCACGCCAGCTTTTTGTCAGTTGGACCCTCGAGCTCCCAGCTAGCTATCGAGCTGGCCGAGGACCCAAGCTTGAAGGATAGACCACCTGCAGGGGTGAGCGGGAGAGGAAGTGTATATATAGACAAAAAGTGTTCTTACTGTGCCAGCATGTGTGCAAATGAACTCCCATGCAGTGGTCATTTCTACTGTTCTACTTGTACTCCAACTATGACATACAGTAATTGGTTTCAGTTGGATTAGGGCTGTAGTGAGTGTTGTCTGTGTATTCAAAGGCAAAGACAGATGCAGTCATAACCCAACAACAGTCCTGAGGTGTGCCAGGATTCAGGGAAATGAAAGCAGCATTTCATTCCTCTAGCTCTCAGTTTCCTGTTAAATAAAGAATTGCTTGTGCCAGTGGATTTTTACACAGTTCACACGCTCACAAAATGCTGATCGCCTCAGATACATAAGGACCCAACTGAGCCAGCAATACCTGTAAAATCATGGATCAAGCCTATATGGGCATGGAAGAAATATCAGGCAGCAACATAAAGCTGAGAAGGCTGGTAGAAACTTCAGAAGACAATTATATCGATGATGAAGTGAGTCAAACTGTGCAATGTGAAACGACTGGACTTGGACTCCCAGGTAATAAACAAAAACAAGTAAACATATTAGATTTAGATACTACATTGATATGTGATGATGAATTATTGTGTAGAAATAAAACAAAAAGTAAAACTAATACCAGGTAGATGTAGGGTCCGGTTTGCTGCAAGGTTATTGTAGGTTTGGATGTTTTGTTTTTAATTTTAAAGATTTATATTTTATAGTATTTTTTTTATCTGTATTTTATTGTGCTGAAATGACTAGTTGACAGGTGACCCTTGGCCCATAATTTTGATTAAATTGTAATTTTTGTTTTTAATTCAGGACAGGCTCAAACACATTCAGCGTGTGTTTATTTCAGTTCAGTTTTAATAGTTTAATAAACCAAAAAACTTTGGTTTTTATACTGTGGTGTAGGGATGGGTACCGGTGTCCGGTGCCATCATAAACGGTAGTAACCAGACCGAAAAGCAGCGCACATTTCGGTGCTTTATTTCGGTGCTTTTTTTTCCTGAGCTGTGATACACTTCTAGCCAATCATTTTACGTTTCCGAGGATAGTAGGCGGGGCCAGGTACGTA